TTTACCTGGGGTCTTTGGTGCCAGATAGTCTAACAATGTGATTGAGGGTGGGGGCTTTGGGTATGTAGTATCAGCTTGACCTGCAGAGTGGCTGGAGATGGGGATCAGCCATGTTGGTGACCAACCAGGTATACATGACCAAGCCCCAACAAAGACTGAACATCAAAGCTTGGGTGAGCTCTTCTCATTGGCAGTAATCCATTTATACTGCCACATATGGTTGCCAAGAAAGTTGGAGCTGTCCTTGACTTCTTTGGGAGAAGAACTGGACAACTGGAAGCTCTGAATGTGGAACTCACCCTGACTCTGCCCCATTCATCTCTTTCTTTGGTGGGTTTTAATCTGTATCCTTCACCATAATAGACCATAATCATTAGTATAACAGCTTCCAGTGAGTTCTGTGAGTCTTTCTAGCAAATTATCAAACCTGAAGATGTCTTGGGGCCCCTTGAACTTGTATTTGGTGTCAGAGTGAGGGTGGTGTTGGCAACCTAGAAACTCTGTAGTTGGTGTCAGAAGTGAGAGTGGTTTGTGGGCTGTTCCTGCATTTCACAGTTTGTCTCACTTAATAATGGCCCTGGTAATATTATTTTTATTGACATCCCTGGTTATATTATTTTCATGCACATATGTGTGAATATTTTTTAGTAAACCAGAAGAAAATCAGTGGCACATTTTTTTCTCTTATACTTTTTCCGCTACTAGATTTCTTATTTAAGTAATAATAAATAAGATTGTTTTATTTAAATTAATGATGCCTTTCTTGATGCTGTTTGTGACAGACTTCTAATTGTCCTCTAGTATGTATTTTCCCTTTTGTCCACTGGAATAAAGATTTTTTTTTTGATTGTTTGTTTTTAAAAGATGACCAGTAAGGGGATCTTAACTCTTGACTTGGTGTTGTCAGCACCATGCTCACCCAGTGAGCTAACCGGTCATCCCTATATGGGATCTGAACCCCTGGCCTTGGTGTTATCAGCACCACACTCTCCTGAGTGAGCCACGGGCCAGCCCTGGAATAAAGTTTTAACAAGACCCATGGCCACCCAGCTAAAGACTATG